CTCCTCAACAAAGCTGTCTCCCACACTTCCCAACACAACTCACTTTCGTGCTCCTGATCGGTTAAAAATAACTATACCTGAACCTTGGCACCATTTTCCACTTCAGTCACGTAAATTGTGAAGGTTGTTCAATGGCTCTTGAAAGTCTGTAAGCCAGAAGGTGTTCTCAAAAGATGACTATTGCAGTAGCAACAGCATATCCTAGAGAGTCTTTCTGCAGCAAGTAGTTATGTTCTGTGTACCCACATTCCAAAACTAAAGCCCACGAGGTGATAAAGCAAAAAAACCAGGAAAACCACCCCCAAACCCATGCCAGTGTTTCACCAAGTCCTATTTTCCCTAATTATTTTAGCTTTGTCCCATTGAACTCCAGAGTGCACAGCATGAACAGAATAAAAAGATTCTTTGCCTCAAAGACTGAACTAGATTTTTTTTGCCTTTCTTTACCACTGAATGACAAAAGCTCTGTTTTTTCTTGAGAGAAGTTGTTGGAGATGCACCTTAGAAGGTTTGCAAGGCAAAAGCAATAAGGAGAGTTTACATGCTTTCAACACAAAGGCTGCTTCCGACTTGGAGACAAAAGGAGATTACAGCAGCTTTCTAGTTTATTAAAAAGAAAAAAATCAGTAGCTTCTTACTGATGACATTTACTTCTTTTTTTGCACAGTGTTAATTCAGCTCACCTCTACTGCAGTTTTTGACATATTTTCCTATTTACTTCAAATATCAGCTGATTTCAAGACCTTGTAGGACAGGGCAGTGGAGTTGTCCTGCTACTATATTCTGAGAATATATATAAGAGACCTAACAGAAGAATTACTCAAGCTGTTTTCATTTGTATGTTTGTTTTTAACTGTGCTTTTTTTCTTTGTCTTTGATTTTTCTTCTGCAATTTCAGAGCCTTGATTTCCAAAAGAAAAGAAATTGAAAACAGAGCTCACTTTGATGGCAACAGGTACTAGATAGAAACAAAGAAAAACAAGGACTCAAATTGTTTAGTTTCTTATGAGAACAGATAATAAATATAGATAAATTTTCAATCACTCTAGGATAGTTTCTATCCTAGATAATTTCTAGATTTTATCTCTTTTCTTTGATGCTGGCTATCTGCTGTTTTTCTAGATCAGGAATCATATTGTTTCCATGGAGAAAGCCAACAACGCTGAGAATTAAAGGCTTGGGAAAATGTTTTCTAGACAATATACTTCATCATATTCATATCACATTTGATTATTTGCAGGGGGGAAAGGACATTGGAAAAAGCAGAAGCACTATCAGTTTCTTAATATTTTTCTCCCTCATCAATTATTGTCTTCACGGATCAAGACAAAGATTATAATACAAAGGTACTGGTAACTTGTTGAAATCATGTGAATTAGCAAAAATGTACAGTGACAATTTAGCCTGGGAAAGAAAAAACTATTTTTTTCTTGGCAATACCTTCCCCTGATGTGAATAGCTTCTGTGGACCGCAACACTGAAAAAGCTAGAGATGCTTATCCAATTTCTGTAGCTTAGTAATGGGCAGTATGATTTGGAATTTCTACAGTACTGATACTAAAATGCACTGCCAGTTACTAAAGTACCACTAATCTTTTGGATGTGGATCAATGGGACTATTTGAGCTTTACATACATACCCATCTATACACACATATACATATCCATCTATATGCATGTATACATACCCATCTATATATACGTGTAATTTAAAAATCCCTAGGTACAATACATACAACTGTGGAGGAGAAGACAATACTAAGTTACGGCGTACAATTTGCAAAGGCACATGTATGATTTAGAAACATAACTGTTAACTAATGGCAGAAAGAATCCTTAGGTCATCTTTAAAAACATCAGCTTTCAAAAACTTACCCATAAGCTGCCAGAACATGAGCCAATTGATCAGAGGTAAGAACAACTTTTTGATATAGATAAGTTTTTTGAGTGGGAACTGCTTCTAGAAATACTAGCTGTTAGGCACTACTAAGCATGTTATTTTATAGAAGGAGGTCATCTGTACAGGTCTAGAATTGTAGTGTCTACATTGACATATGGTGGTACCCAGCTTCTGTCATAACTTTACCTCCTTCATGAACCACTTACTCTCTGAGGCTCCAAGCTCTGGAAGGGTTTTTTGGGGGTCAGTATTGATCTAGGTCAGTGAAGCTGTAAGTGGCTATGAGGGGATTTTATTTCCTTTCCTAGACCTGACACTGGCTTGTTGGTAACTCTAAATGAATCACTTTACCACCACAATTCTAGTGTCTCAATCAATACGTACTGTATCTTCTAATGACATGACCTCCATTACAGACCAACAGTGCAAAGTGTGTTGGGGTTAAATGTGATTATCACTTTTACTGAAACCAATTGATTTTACAAGAAACATTTCACACACGACTGGATTAGACCATAGCTGCCCATACAAGTTCACTTTCATATAAACCACTTATAATAGTCTAACTATGAATAAGCCTTGCAGACATTTTCACTTCTTTTATGTTAAAAATTTAACATGTGAAGTCTGAATTACCAGAAGCATTCTTCTCATTGTCATTTTTATTATCTAATAATTTGCCTAGCTATTTTGTGGATCATAGAAAAGAGCAATAACAGGGTACATGAGTAGTAGCTTGAAAAATACTTACCAAAGTTAAGTATTAAAGTATACATAGACTGTTCCAATATAGTTTTTTAACAAGTGGAAGGGTCTTGGGACCATGGCAAAGAATTTTACTGTTCAACTCTTAAGTGAGAATGCCCATTCCAATTTCCCATAAAGGAGCTTAACCTTTATTTAACCAATCAGTTATCCAGCAGGGACCTGCTTAGGTCCTACTATACACTGTCAGACTCAGCAAGATTCCTTGAAAATGAGCCAATAAGAGAGAAAGAATCATGCTTACTTTTAATGCTACAAAGGACATTATTATTCATAGTCCAGTAACTTTATGGCAAGCATAAACCTCTTGGAGGAAGAAAGAGTAACATATCTGAACATTATTTTCATTGGAATAATTTCAATTCCAACAAGACTAAAAAATAAGAGGATATAAGATTTAAAAATTATTACATTTGGGACAAAAGGCACAGAATTTACCTGACCGAAATAACTGTCTTGAAAGAATGACACAGAAGCATGCAAAGAATAACCCTGAAAGAGACTTACAGGAGTTAACCAAGGTCAGCTCGTTATCTTAATAATTCTTTGCATACAGTGTTACATTTTGTAGTCAAGAGTTTTGGAGCCTGACATCTCACCAACCCTTTAAACTTCTGTTATCTTCATTTTACAAGTGAGTAAATAAAGATACAGATCTGAGAAAAACACCATTGTTTAAGTTGCCTGCGTATGCTGAGAGCCACTCCACCTAATTTTCAGAAGAACTGAGACTCCCTATCTCCATCTGAACCAAAGCGGAGATCTACAGGTGGTGTAGCTGCCAAAATGAAAGGCTTATCTTTGCTGCTACTGAGCTGCTACAAGAGATCCCTGTGTCCTGATCCCAGCCCCTTCCCTAACCACTATTAGACACTGCCCCCTTCCAGAACTTGACAATTATAGCTTGCTTATGGTTGTATTTCATCAATAAAAGTCAGTTGACTCATGTTTATAAGGTCATTTTACAATACTCTGGCAGCAATAAAGGTGATTTAAATGGATATTACATTTTCATTCACTTTAGGGCTATTTTTGATTGCCTGAGTGACATCAAGAGACCTGAGTCTAACTGAGAAGCAAATTTCAAGGTTTCACCTCAGCAGGGGCTAGCCCCTGCCATCCTAGAGCTGCACATTGGAATATTCAAAAATCTGAAAATCATAAACACTTGCCTCCAAGAGCAAATCAGAGGTGGAAACCTGTGACTGGACAAGAGAGGAGAGCGGGTTTCCTCAGTAGTCCCACCACCCTCCTGCAATTTTGCTTAGGGGAGATTGGTGAAGGCTGATGCTGTCCCAGCCACCCTTCACAGGGATTTAGATACATGCATCATTGCATGCCAGCCTGAGTGCTAGCTGCATGGCATAAGCAGAAGACAAACCACTGCAAAGGCCATGTAGATTATAAAACCACTTATTTTATTTTTTAATTTTTTTTCCCTTATGGTTTCATTTCATGGAACTTGATGAAAGCTTAGCTAGTTTGGAATTTGCAAGGCTTCAGAGTGGTCTGGGTCATTTGGTCAAATGAACATATTCAACCACATAACGTTAACTTTCTATTGTTGTGCCACAGGCTAGTGACTCACTGATATACTTACTCACCACTTCCAGTGCCCCAGTGCCTAAATAACACTTGAATAATTCAAATATCCTCATTTATCTAGGATGATGTTTGTCTGGAGTGAGTTTTCTGAAAGCACTGCATGGACTCAGGAGCCAGTCTTACTGAGAAGATGTAGGGCCTATGCCCCCAAAATCTGTACATGTTTTCAAAAAGTTCCCATATCACATACCTTTTAACAGAAAATGGATTTAGAGCTCATGTTTTGGTCAGTGAATCTAGAAACCTTTGACATTTTCTGGCTTTAGTATTCAGATGATCTAGTCATATTCCATTGAAACAACCCAGTGAAGAGCAATACATGTGCCAAGACAGAATGCAAAAGATAAAATAATAATATATTTCTGCACCATGTGCTCTTCTACATTTGTGGTATTTCTCATTCCCTTATCTTGGAGGCCTAATGGATCTCAGTGTGGAATAAATAGCAAGGAATTGCTATTGTATAGTCTTGCCAAATGAAAGTCAAAGCACATTTTAAGCCCCAACAGCATGATTATTCAAAGACTGACTAGGAAAGTGTAGCACTGAATGCCAAATAAAGGGACATAAACAAGAGTGATTGTGATTTGCATGAACTGAATACCATGAAGTTGATAAAGTTGCAGACACAGAAATGAACTTAAATCAGTGCAGAATTCTACACTATTCTCAAAAAAGACTTTAACACAGTTACACTGGTCTTCCTTTAGGAGCAAATCAAGAGTACTTACCATTCTTGGAGAGAATCACAGCCAAATATTCATGAAAGTAGGTGTTGATGTACAACAGAAGGCTTGGAGTATGTGCCGTGAGAAAGCTAAATGCAATATTTTCCTTGGACATAACAGCATCCGCATAAATGGCAGAGCTTGAAGTACTTGCATTTTTTGTGACAGGATAAGGTTCTTGGAAAATATAGGTAATGGAAGTGCCAGCTTCAAATAATGCAGAAACCTCTGAAAACATATATAAACCAAGGGAATGATTTCAGTTACTGTATTTTCAGGTGTCCTAGACAGAGGAGGACTTGAGCTGACTGCCTCAGAAGCAGAACATTGCAAAATGTCCCTGACCCAGCTGACATCACTGTTTTTTAATTTGGACGAGAAGTGTGCTTCCTTACAGTCTATTTCTCTGGTACAGAGAATGACCGTGTATGGAGACAGGCCTCTAAATTTAACTATTTTAGTATTGGAATCAGAGCTCCACAAGATAGAAGAGGCCAAAATATCTGTCAGCCAAATAAATACTCGGTTCACTGTTTTCTAACAGCTGACATGTAAGGCAATATTCTCTGTCTTCCCACCACAGTAAAGACAATATATTTGTCCTTTCCAGTCTCCTTTTTAAACAGAGTCATTATTAAAGTAACACATTGACCCCAAGACAGCCAGTAAGGGAAGCTGTCTTTTGTAGTTCCAAAAGAGGAAAAACATCTACCTGTGCATTCATTCTTAGATCCTGAGAATTCACACTTGTGTTTCCAATAATCACAACATAATCTGTTTTTTTCTAATGTAAGACACAGTAAAGTCAGGATGTTCAGCTACACACTGACTGCTTGTACTTTTTCCAATAATGCATCTCCACCTCTACAGCAGCATCTCCTAACAGGACACTGTATGGTTATTTGATACGCCTCTACAGCAGCATTGGTGCCAAATCCTCAGCTCATGTAAGTGGGCATAGTTCCATGGACTGCAGTACAACTAAGCCAATTTACACCAGCAGATGATGTGGCCCACCTAGGAAACCTGTTGCGTTTGTGACGTGAGTGGCAGCCGTGGAAATTAAAACACTCACATTGTACCTGTTGTTATTGAGCATGAGATCTGCTAGTTCCTTCCTCTTCCAAAGAACATGTTATCTAAACTGAATGTCCTTTATTTGCTCTGCTCCTTTTTCTGGCGTTGACAACATCTCCTATTAACCACCAGAAAGGTCCAACAAGGACACATTCACCTGAGGCTGAACCATGCAAACCAGTTTTCTCCTGAATGCTTCACGCTTATTTTTAAAACCTCTTAACATTTGGATGGGTTGTGACAGGAATGGAAAAAAAAAAAACCCTAAAAAGACTACCTCTTTTTGTCACACCATTGCTTCAAAACTCTGTAAAAAAAAGCTCTCAAGGTTTTGTTAAGGTGGACAAAACTGGATGAGATTTTAAAATAAGGAAACTAAATATTCAGACATGGGCAGACAACTATTACAAAAAATTTCAGCTCTATTTGTTACTGTCTGGGCCAAGTTACATGCAATCAAATACAGAAATCACTGTGGAATATAGTTGGTAAATTTAATGGTACAACTAACACCATTTTAATTTTTGAGGCCATCACTGAAGTCAACAAAAGGAGGCATTATAGCCCACTCAAGATAAATACTCAGTAATTCTGAAGGGATAGCTGGTATTAGAACGTCTTATTGTAACATGAGGAACATCAAGCTGACATGGGTGAAACTGTGTTGTAATTCAGAGACCACCAAGGACTTAGGATCAAAGCTTGCTGCCTACCTTCCTTGCAGAAAGGTCCTTCGTAGGCTGAGTTGGTACAATCACAGGAGTAACCGTTATACTTCTCCACACATTTTCCTCCATTATGGCACAGGTTACCGTAACTGCTGCAGTGTCCTGGACATCCAGGTTTAACACCAGCTGTCATTTTAGCTCTCTCTTCAAGGTCAAGTTTCTGTCCGTTTAAGTGCAGAGATCGAATGCATCCTAAAAATCCCTTTTGTCTGGAAGCTGTTCCCCCTGAAAAGGAGACAAAAAAAGGCATGTATACATTGGTCCAATCCAGAGGTACAAATATAAATCCATGAATTGTTAAAAATATTATCTATTGTATATCAAGGCATACAGTGGCAAAAGATGACAGATGGACAGCCCTGGGAACTAAAGTTCTCTATTTATCTTTATGAAAGGACTAAAAAGCTGTATGTGACACTTTCTTGTTGCCATTCTTCTCTTTCCTGCCTTATCTACTGCCCTGTCTGGCATTTAAACTGCAAATTCATTTGGGAAAAAGATTAGCTTCTTTATCGTATGTCTGCATATCACCTAATACATGAGAAACAGAAACCCAAAATGTTTTTTTTTTCTGTTTGTTGCCATAGTACAGAGTATAAATAACACCCTAATCCCAACAGCAGGTGAGTTACACATGCTGATGAGTCCAGATAGCAGGGATGAATCATGTTCAGCACCAGGCCTGCTGGCTGAAGGGAAATGACTTGAGTCAGAATTTATGCATGACTGCCCAACCTGATGTTGCATGTGAATGGTTGTTGCAGGCATGAAGCATGAGTTCAGGTCACAGTGGTGTTATTTATTACAATTGTTAAACATAATTGCATTTCTCCCTGAAGACCAGAGCTGCATGGATCTACTCCAGAGGGCAGTTCAGTCTCTACAAGCTAACTAGCTTCTTATCTGCCCAAAGAAATTGCTAAAGTATAGAAGACACTCTTTACATAAGAGGTGGTCTCTGAGAATGACAATATTAATGATGATTGTTAGAATATTTTGTGAAAATATCACCATTTTTCTTATTGTAGGCTTTGTTTGGCAGTTGGCAGTTTTGCTTTTGAAGATGCTTCAATTTTGATTGCTGCTAAGAAATCTAATTCTGGTTCAGGAGTTAACAGCATTTGTAGGCTGTTTGAAATGCTAGATTTATTGGTGATTCTTCTGCAAAAGCAGTATGAAAGAAGTTATTTCCAAAGCATTCTTCTGTAGAAGTTGGTTCTATATCGAAGTGCATGAGATAAGAGATTACATCTCTATAAATCCTTGCAGAAGAACATTTTTTTTTTTTTCATAATATGTCCAATTAAAGCAAGACTTCTGCAAATTAAGAGAATAAAGCAATGGTCTGAAAAGCAGTCTCACCAAAACCCTATTGTTCTTCTATACCATTCTAGCATATTATTCTTTTTGGTACACTCATAGCAGAAATACTGAATTTGGAATAGAATAATTGAACTATAGGATAGTATGTGTGAGCCAGGTTCATTTCACACTAATTTTATGATGCCAGGAAGAATTGGATTAGGGAAGCTGAAGCAGTGTGAAGTCCTAGGAGCTTTCTTGCTTTATGTAACTGATACAAAGATAAGGAAAGAGCACAAGTGTATAAGAATCATAATTATTTGTGGCCATTCTCTGGACCCACTCCAACAGGTCCATGTCCTTCTTTTGCTGAGGACTCCAAAGCTGGACACAGTTCTCCAGGTGGGGTCTCACCAGAGCAGAGTAGGGAGGTAGAATCACCTCCCTCAACCTGCTGGTCACGCTTCTTTTTGTCTCCCCCTTCTCCAGTTTTATCTCCAGGCTGATTCAATGAGAAGGTAACCATTTTGTATGTTTGGGGTAAACAGATATCACTATGAGAGTGCATCTTTCCGGGATATGTAAAACTCAAGTGAACTTCTCTATCTGTGATGTTGCACCAGCTCCAAAATGAAAGTACTTGTGGGTGCATTACTGTGCAGATAATGAATTATGGTTACTCTATGCTTATCAAGGCAAGAAGTGAGTGAAGCAGCTTTCTAGCAGATAGTACTGCTAATTCAAGTAATGTAATGTGAGTTCAAGCCCAGTAAGACATGCTGAACATTCAGAGATACTCCACTGAAGCACAGTTTAAGAACATTAAACACACACTTGGTTACATCTAAGTACATAGAGCAAGCTGAAAATTAATTTTTACCCTAGCAATGACCCAAACAGGCTTAAGTTTAAGAACATGCAAAACTCAAAATTAAACTGGGGACAATGCAAGTCATGGTGAGACTCCCAGGTTCTGCTATAGTCTCTGAACATCTGGATTTCTCTGCTGGAATAAGCAGCCATGACATCCAAACACTGAACTCACTGGCATTACATATATCAGTTGGTATCCCTCTGAGACAACGCAAACTCGCATTTTTCAGTCTTCAGGACACAGCTTTACATTAGTTCACAATCAGTGCTTTTTCCATCTAAAAGGACTAGACAGTTGTGATTTGGTTTTTTAGGCTTTGGTTTCTTATGGAAGAGAATATTTTCTCACACATGGTATATTTTTATCTCTGAATCCAGTCTTTTTAAATTCCTTGCCCAAATTTAAAAGCGAGAATAACAGGTTTTCTCATATTTCAAGAAAACTGGTAGCAGAGTAAATAAGAGAGAAACAGCATCAAGGTCTCCACTTCAGGAAGACTGAAATGTGAATTCATCCCTTACTGGACATAAAAGAACCTACACACATAAAAGAGAAATCCTTCTCTGTGTTTAGTCATTGGAAAATCTTCAGTAAAAGCCTAAATCTCCTAAAATACCTAAGTCAGTCAATCTAAAGATAAACTTCCAAGGAAAGTCAGGCCTTCTTAACTCCCATCCTTACAAAGTATTTAAAGGCTGGTTAACTTCCTCAAAACATGTCAGTATTGCTGGATCAGAAGTAAATGAAGCACAGCTCCATGACTGCCTACAACATTGCTGGAGAAGGCTTCTGTTCAACCTTCTTTACTATAAATCATAGAAAGTAAAACATTTGCTAGCCAGGCCAACTTTTAAATAAAACCAACAAACCGATACAAAAACCCCAAGAGCTAAATTCTTCTATTAGTTACAGTCCCAAATATATCTGGTTCTTGGGTTAAAGAGGAAAAATCTCAAAGTAAATAACTGAAGTAAAAAAACTGAAGTAAATAATTCATAAAACAGGTAGAAACAGTTTACAAGGAATTAATTGGTCCAAATTAATAGAATTCCTTTAAAATTATGTTGTTTGTCAACTGCCCCAGTAGTTAAATTTTACAAATGTCCAAATCTATTTTATATGCATGATCCACTGTATATAACTGCATAAAAGGAAAAAGACTTTTCCTTTTATGCAGTTATATAACCACCTCACATATACTGCACATAGGCTGACATCTCTCAAGCAACAGGAAAATAATCATAGTTTGAAAGCTACAGTGGATCTCCATTCTATCACCATCGTAATGCTACATGATAATAATATAGTTCCTTCAACCCAAAAGAATCAATAAATCCTTCCAGAATATAAATAAACTAAATTAAATTTTGACATTGAGCCTTATTTATGAGATTTACAAAGTATTTGAATTGATTCTGGAAAAGAATCAAGAAAAAAAAAAAAAAAGAGGTTATATCTTAATGACTACCTACCTCCAGTATGGAAAAAAAGTTCCATGTTCAAACGAAATGAAATAGGGTGATTTAACAAAAAAAAAAAAAAAAGAAATTGGAATGTTCTAAAAATAGAAAATCACATCAGTTATATAGATTATTAATTAAGAATGTGCATACTAATTGTGGAAACCCCTTAAGCACTGTCAGTATGTGGAGTTCTGCAGAAACAAATATGTTGTGGATTATAGGGAGAGCAGGTAGTAATATGCACATTAGTCATTGGACACATTAGGTTTTCTGTCCCGTTTGTTCCGGGTTCCTTTTTACAATGTTGCTTATGCATTTATTTTTCAGATGGAATAAAATTCATTCCACATGGTTGAGGTGTTAAATCAGTTGCTTCCTATTAGATTAGAATGAGACCTTCAGTAGAGACAAATTATGTCACATCTGTGTATTGTTGGACTTCTGCCACCTTTCCCTGGAGCACCTGGGGACAAACAGTGTCAGTATGAGGAAGGCGCCCCGGTTTCCATCTCTTCTGACTGCTCTTAGGAAAACTCAAGAAGCCACGGACAGTTTTGGCCTTCAATATGGTAGAGCTAAGGGAGGAAGAAGCACTCCTAAAACATTAGGTTTTCTGTCCCGTTTGTTCAGGGTTCAGTCAAAATGTGGATGGACATATTCAGCTGTACGCAATTAAATATGCATACAGTATGCATACTTCATATGACAGTAAGCAATATATTTACTGCATATTGAGAACTTTTCATCTCTTGGCTGAGATAAAGTTACTAGATCCTAGAGTTCATTGTATAACTGTTTATTAAGTACAATCAGAGAAAAAATTGGGTTGGAAGTCACCACTGGAGGTCAGCTTGTCCAACCTGTTCCTCAAACCACAGCTACATTCACAAGAGGTACAGATTAATTTCTTCACCAAGACTAATGGGACCTTTTCTGCACAGCTCCTACCCTTCCACTCAATCCCCAGCTTGTACGGATGCCTGATGTTATTCTGCCCCAAGTACAGGGTTTTGCGTTTGTCTTCACTGACAAGGGTTCCTGATGGCACATTTCTCTGTTGAGGTCCCTAACTACCATGGATTTTCATCATGCAATTCATCAATTATGTCACTTTAAAACCATCATGACCTTCATTCAGATAACCTGCTTATTTTGCTTAGGCAGAGAAACAAGCTTATAGGCAGGTGCTGATTTTCTGATGTGAGATAGTAAACAGCTGATGTATATGACATTTCTGATAGATTTACGGCAAAACCTCTATTTTCACTCCTTTGAAAGGAAACAGCAAAAAAATTTCAAAAGTCTACCCAATCATTAAACTCCCTAAGTTTTCTAACTGGAAACAGTACCTTGGTTAGATTTCTCTGATGTTTCTGAGGCACCTAGCAGCCCAACCCTGCTGACTTCAGCCCTGGCCTACTGCAGAACATGTTCCTAGGATCATCATAGCATTTGAAAAACAAATAAATACCCCAAAATCTTATTAAATCAAATGGTGAGGATACATGGATAAGCTTTATTAAAATTATTTGACAGACTGAGGTTTGCTATAGCATTTCAGCTAAGTAAGAGAATCCATTCTAAGGGAAGAATCAGTAGTTATCTGAGTGGCCCTGAAGAAGAAGCAGGTCACAACCCACTCTATCACTGAGGGATTACTCAGAAATACAGTGTTTGAATATAGAAAAGGGAGAAGTAATCCCTGATTACATTATCAAACATAAAATGGTCCCAATCTAGACTTCATTTGCAAAGGAGATAAGAAAACAAACTATATACAAACAGAGGTGTTTTTTTCTTCCCCCGCCCTCGGCCATGAAAGATCACCTTCAGTTGCAATAACTGTATTTGCTTTGACTGTGTTCATAGTTCTCTCACACATGCATTCTATGGCCAAATAAGGGTTTTAGCAGGCATGCCTGAAGGAACAGACTTTAAGACCATACTGTCATCAGGCGTTGCACCAGAAGCTTATATGAAGAATTTGTTCCTTTTACATTGCATCTAAAAAGAGATATCACATTTCCTACAGCAAATTACACAGCCAGTGCTGCAAGAGAAGAAATACTATGAATTCTTTGGCAATAAATATGTTTCAAGGAATCTTAGACTCTAAAAATACCATCTAGTATGGCTAAACTATGATCAGTGCTTTTGAGTGTAAAGGCAGTAGTTTGGGTTTACTTTATGTTGCCTATGCAGAAGTGGAAGAAGAGAAAGCAGGATTAGATCACCACATGCAAGCTCAGGAATGAAACAATAGTGTTACCAAGGTAAGGACATAGAAATATTGTACATATCTACAGAAACCCTTAAATGGTCCCTACCTACAAATAATTGGCTGTTAAGCTGCAAGCGGAAATGCCCCTCGGCAGGTGCCTCCAGGACCTTCTTGGGGAGGCTGTCCACCTGGAGAGAGGTTTGCTTGAGGTTCCTCTCCGCTCGGACATAGTGCCACTGGTTGTCATTCAGGGGTGTGGGAGACTGCACAGTGGCTTCTGTGGGGCCATTGCCGACATCTATGGAGAAGGTGATCTCTTTGGGGGCTGAAATAGATAAACAAATGTGAAGAGGAAGTGAAGGTCTGAATTAAATCGTGGGTTTGACATCAAGAAATCTTACATAAATATAGGGTCCATTAACTTTAATGTCAGCACATAGTACAGCATCATTTACCTCCCATCTCCTACACAGCAGCTTATACATAAATCTAAGCCTGCAGCCTCACTGTTTGATCTCTTCTGTGATTATGCTTGGCTGTGGGTACCCATCTTTTTTTTGCTATAACAATTACAGTGCTCTGGAAATCGTAGTTTATTCTCTTTTGTACAGCCAATGGCTGTACAAAAGTCACACAATGGTAGCAAAAGATTTTGGACAAATAATGCTAAGATAGGAGAAAGGATGAAGGAGCTCTTTCTGACTAAATCTTTCAAAATACATGTATTTAACAATTATAGAACTTTGGCTGCTTATGATAGGAGAGAAACCTACAAGCATTCATTTGCCTGAATAAATCTAACCCAGGAAGCAAGGAAAAACAGATGAGCAAAAGTAGTTCATTGGTGATCCTAAACTAAAGAGGCATATGTAACACATGTCCAGGGATAGTAAGGTTCATAGAAACAGGATGATAATTGAAAAACAACAGCCATATAAAGGAGTCCTTCTTGCTCTGCTGGAAGCCTGAAAGGGGCCAGAGCTTTTTAACATTCTTAGTACTGATTATTTTTCCTCTCCCTAAAATGCTAAATACACCAGAAAGACCAAGAGCCAGGTCCACAGACCACACAACCAGAAGGTTGTGGATTGAAAATTCATAAAAAACCTGTTATTCCAAGCCCAACAAATTGGATATGTTTGGTTTTGGAAGCTGCTTCTTAGATAGTTAAGATAGGAAACACTCCATAGGGATAGACAAAGATCTATTCTGAGCCCCTGCATCTGCTAAAAGGCCGTTTCCCTTCGAAGCAGCTGGTCTGTGGAACTTCCTTGATACAAGGCCTTTAGGCTGCAAATTCCATCTGGCAGCAAGAAACACACCACCAAACTACTAATGAGAAGTTTAAGTTATAAAAGACAAGATCTTCCCCAAACTTTTAAATAAGTCATTTCTCCAGGAATATGGATTTAACACACATGCAAAAGCTTTCACTAAAGAATCCTCTCTGTAGTTTACAGCACTTGTTATACTTGATATCAAAATGCTATTTTTACTTCTCTATCCCTGAGAAAGAAATGCAGTACACTGAATTACAACCAAATTGGACTTTGATGTGCAATTAACAGTAAATCATACCTCATTACCTTGTGATAATACACCATGACATTTACCATTGGTTTAATGAATCGAAGGGCCTTGGGGCCCTGTTTTATTAAATTTTACGTTGGGGTTATTATAAGCATATTATAAAATGCATAGCACTCAGTTTGTTTTTCCTAAGCTTGACAGAATTTGGAATACAGGAGTCGTATTTCATGTCAAGCCACAGTACTCTTTTTGTCACTAATAAATATTTGAAGTCATCAGAACAGGAGTGAGGCAAAACCTCACTAATTAAATTCCCTGCTACTCTCCTTTATATACTGAGTAGCAGTTATACTGCAGTCACTTAGTGGATTTTAAAGTATCCAAGGCCCATTACAACTGTGACTGACTTATTTTGCCTTTGCAGCCTGTCCTTCATAGACTCTCACCCCACACCTGTATCATACAGGCTGAGTTCCTCTGAAATGCTAGGGCTGCGTCAGACTGGGTACGTTGCTGATATAGAATAAAAGTAACCATTAGGGTGGTCGCATTATATTTTTTGTCTTTCAACTAAAACTACAGTCTACAGGTATGTATAACCAGTAGCTTTTTGTCTAAAGAGCAAAACAATTAATAAATTAATATCAGTGCTGAAAAAGTAAATTCAATCACCTGTTTGTTTAAGAAAGGTAAATCTAGCCATAACAAGATTAAGTGCAATGACCAAGGCTATACAGGGAAACTCAGACAGGAGAGGTAGATAAATCTAGATTAATGATTAGTGATTAATGTCTCCATCTTATCCTTTTCAGGCACCTCCAGCCATCTCAAGACAGAAGAAAACATGCCCTTTCCAATTCACTGCACATGCCAAACTGGGAAAAGACACCAAGTTTTCCTGGTGGTGAAACTTACAGCTTATTTCAACTCGTATGAAGTCCTTAATCCCCAGGTTTTCCAAGAATACCCCGGAAACGGCAGTAGTTTTGAAGAAGAAGGAGATGTCTGCGCTGACCTCGGCATGGAAGGTGGGGAAGTGCAGGTAGGAGGCCTCTGTGTTGAAGGAAGCAGCGTTCCAGAACTGCCCTGCAAACACAACCCCCTTCTCTATAGTTAATTGGCACAGGACAGCAGCTGCGAGCTGCACGTGGAAAGTCACCTTTCATCAGATAAATACATTTTAAAATAAAAACTGAAACAAAAAGAAAGAGGGAACATTCTGTACCTATGGAAATTGAGAAGAGCTAGTACTCACAGTCTCCATAGCAACGCAAAGGGCCGATTTTCCAAGCAGCCTCAGAATTTGATCTGTTTGTGTCAGTGATCACTATCTGAGTTACAGGCAAATGGTCTTTGAAAGCGAGGAGGCCGGTATCATTTGTCCTGGATTATAATAAACAAACAGAAAGAGACAGATTAACCACAGACAAAATCCCCAGCGTTTCTTATGCAAGGCAACATTTCAAAGATGCTTACATAAAGATGAAAGGTCTTTTGCAGAATTACCTAGAAGACTTGTGAATGGTACACCACACTCTTTAAGATACATATGTGCACATGTGTGCTCTACGCTCATACATAATTCTGACCACTGAAAAGGCTGTATTTGGATACATGATGCTGTCTGGTACGGGCTGTAACTGCGTTCCAGCTGTGCAGAGTAACTGTGAAGCCAAGGCAGCGTGCTGCCACGGGCATCAATGTAAACTGGGTCCTACTGGGTGTCCTCAGCAGGATGAATTTGTGCATCAGATATAAGTCCAAGTCTGCATTTCAGTTGAGTTAGCTGGAGACAGATAACAGCATTTATGCTGGCTTTAGGCAGGAAGAGGAGACATGATACCTGATGCAGCGTGCTATTAACATGGGGCAGCCAGACAATATCTGATCCAGCTTCAAGATGGCTGGTACACAACTGACTCAGCACACTGCGAAGACAGTTGAATTGGCAGAGTGAGTTTGTCCTGAATCAGCCCTTTGCATTACACGCCTGTGGAAATTTTGGTTCAGCAACTGAAATACTGAAGGCTGATTTACTGCGTTGTCAAACTACAGTCTCTTGGTTGTATCAGCTGGGCTTGTTCTTCAACTATGACTAACTTACACACGGCTGCTAGAAAGGAAGAGAAAAGAAAGAAAGATTCCTAAAGGATCATTCCTTTGTTTCTACTCTGAGTGTGCTGGACAACTTGTCCACAAAATGCAGCACAGCATTTCATGGCAGCCCTCTTGTCTCTAAGCTGATTCAGTGGCTTTGACTATGGCAGGGTATACAGATGTGCATTCATCCCACTGTACTTCAGGAACTGAACTGAGTTCCTCAGGCATCCAGCCCTGACCTGGTATTTCTCTATTGATTGCTTATAGAGAGGTGAGTACTACCATATCTTAGCTACACAGTGATGACTTTTTTCTCTCCTAGATCTTTTTCTCAGGGTTGAGGTCTGTTGTTCATCTGGGTGCATAAGCATGGCAGAGCATCCTTCATGGAGCCTAATCTCAGTAGTTTTGGAGGAAAGGATCCCTACCTCTGTGTGGCCCAGAAATCTGTAATCAGGGTCTGGACTCAACTCACCTGCCTGCTCAGAGATGGAAGACGACACACTGTACATGGGGATGGCAACAATGACTGGATCAAAAATGCCATTAATCTCAAATTTACACCCACTGCTCTTTCAAGCATGTATGACGCAAAGCCTCAGGAAATAGGTATCACTTTATAAGTAATACCACTACTGAAGAGTCTGACATACCAGGCAGGATCCCAGACTGCCTACATGCTGCTTGTAATACCACCTTCCACAAACACGGCTTTCATTATAGTTCCAGCCATGGGAAAGGACACAGGACTTCAACAAAGAAATAATTATCAGGATGAACACTGTAGCTGTGCTCTGACACACAGCATTGGATTTTTGCTTAGCTAAGTGCTCTACTCTGATTAATGTTAGAAAAAATAGAAGGGGTATTTTGATCTTTTTGATAAAGGCTGCATACATATAATTTATTTTTCATTGATTCTAATTGCATGCAGCACAGTTAATCGCCTCATAATTCCAAGGGAAAAAGGAGAGGTACCCTCTCCAACCCTAACATTTTTTTCTTGCTTCAGTGGGTGTCTGACATGCAGATAATTACAGAAAAATTGCAGCAAGATGAAATTCCCAGGCACAAGGCAGAGGGATGCCTTCAATACAGACTTGGAAAAACACCACATATGAATCAAAAGTACACAGTCTCCAGATCTCTTCATCTTAGCAGCACACTCATATAGCTTATTGTATCAATTTTTGAAAGTTAGTGTAAATTCTCTCAACAGATTATGAAACAGTTGTAAGAAAAGCTGAACTATTTGAGTGTTTCTTAGGAAGACAATTAAATAAGATGTTTCAGTGGGTGGGAGGAAGAAGAGTAGGCAGACTGAATGAAAGAAAGGCAGGAAGATGCAGAGAAAGAGGACATAAAATATGCAATATGCACATGAATAACTAAGCTGACATTTACTTTTTTAAAAATAAAAAAAATCACAAAATATTTAGGGAAGTTTCCTACAAATTTATTTTCATTCAAAAAATACTGCGGTCTTTTGACTAGCTATGATTAGCATTAAAATAAAAATCAGTATTTTCCTACAGCTACCACTGAAGATATCTACACAAGAAATGAAATGGTGACATTTTAAAGATATCTATTTCACATCTCTGAAAACTGCATTGCTTATTAGATATTCTGTTATATTGCATGAAGTTCTTTTATATTGAATTTTATGACTCTCAGTTTTTACTAGTTATATGCCACTGTCACAGAGAACTTCAGTAGCATAGCTCAACTGTGAGAAAGAAAACTATTCCAGAACTAATAAAAGCCTCCACTTTTATGTTAATGTCTTGAAAACTCAAACAAGTTTCATTTGAAACTCAAACCGCACATGTTATGTGCTTTATTCTCTCACACATGGAAAAAAGGACTTGCATAGGGTTACATATTCTCATACAAGTAGATGTTGAAATAAAACATATCAGAAAAAACATACTACCCTTCAGAAAATGTGTCAACGACAGGAACGACATACCTATTGTTGTAGTTTATTATTATTATTATTTCATGGTGGGAAATCAAGTTTTTGGTGAAAAGTCAACACTTAAGGTGTTTCAGCTAAGAAAACCAGAAAAGAGATTTGAAGACATTAAGCAGGGCCTCATGGGAGCTAAAGTTGTGTGTCTCAAATTCCTGATATTCTTTATGTTGAACTTATTTCAGATTCCATTTCTTAAAAAGCACCACAGTTCCTCCTCTCTTTACATGGTACACTGTGGCAGCCTCTCAAATAGTGTATTACGCGGCAGAGAAGAGCCTTTTGTATCATGCTGTACTCCGCTTCTCAGTATTGAGAAATATGGGTGGGTCCTGTCTAAAAAAGGTCCTGGAGGGGTGAGGAGGTGATGCTCTTTGGCCAGGAGTGTAAGTTAAGTCCTGATTTCACAAAAATCAAAGCAGGTTTTATCCCTTTCCTGAAAGGAGTCTTGTACATGCAGAAAATGGTACAAATAAATTAATAAACTTGGGAAGTAGACCTTATGCTTACCAGACTTGGCACTCAATTCAGCACAAATGCAGATGAAAATCTGAATATTTTTCAGAGGGTGAAAAGCACCCTCAGTGAACAGATGTTTCTCTGAGGTCTTTACATAAAGGGTAGTATCAATTTGTACTTCCCACAAGCAAAACCAAACCAAAACAAATCCAATAATGCCCTTTAAATTAAATCATTGAAATATTTTTAGTTATGGGTACTAAATACAGTTGGATGTCATCTATTTATCCATGTCTGAAGATTAATATCTGTATCTACCCAAAGGACTTCCTCAATAAACTATGAGCCATCCTATACATAAAAGAAATGCTCTATGTATGGGGGGAAGAGGGCAAAGTAAAAAAAGAAGAAAAAACCTCACTGCTAGTGCAGCAATGCTAAAGGTGACAGTGCAGCAACTGGACACTTTAAGATGTAGCACAGGTAGTCTTACCTGTAAATGACAAATAACTATTTTGATGATAACACTATGAGACTATTTTTCTTCTTCCTGGCGACTAATAAAAGCATGCTCAAGAAAATCTCACTCTGTTGTACCCTAACAGCGTAGGCCATCATAAATTGATAACCTCTCGGTAGCTGTTTCCATATTTTTTCTAACAGATGGTAAAACAGTGGTGCCATTAAATATAATTTCTTCTCATATGATCCTGTGTTAGTACATTTTTCTTCTTGTGCATTAATGAAAACTCTGGTGGGGTCTGAGCGTCAGTAGCTCAGATATTCAGTACAGATTTTCATGAATACACTACGTCTGGGGAAAAGAATACTATCATAAGCAGATGTCAATGAACTGCATGAGGAATGGACCAGTGAAACAGGCTTCCATCAGAAGTTTTGAGCCCTGTGCAGGATATATCATTAATAATCCAAAGGAATACATTTTAATTGCTATCTTACCAGCTGCATTCAATAATGCTTTACTGGGTACAATAACGTAAAGTCATGATAAAGGAAAAAAATAAGCAGCAGAAGGGGACATACCTAATAGTTGAAGGCAAGATGCAGTGGCTACATTTTGTTGAATTAGGGAAGAGGTGCAGAGAAAGAGTTTGGTAATGATAGTAATGAACTGATTCCTGACACCTCGGGGGCCTGCTACAGCCAGCTCTCGGCAGGCAGCTTTTCTAGTTTGTTGACAAATGCAGTCATGAAGGCAGATATCCAAGACAGCTCTATACAGGCCAGGTCACCTCCGGCAGGGTTTATTTCTGAGCTCACAGGCTCTGTGGAGTTGCCTGCACTGCTTCTGGGGGAACGGATTCAGTGTGGGATAGTGGCTGAGCAAACAAAACCTGTCAAATCTGGGCTCGTCAGTGGCTGAGTTTCTCTGCCCTGCTCTCCTCAGCCCTTCCAGTTTTAGCATCCTGGCTCTGGTACAGTTTTGCACAAATATTACCTGTCCAAAGAGAACTTCACTCCTCCTTAAATGAAGCTGGATATACTCAATATATCTCTGGGAGCCAAAATGGGTCTGACAATAGTAATACCCCCCCCTCCCTTTTTTTCCTTCCCTTCTTCTCATGTCTTGTGGTTTCCTTTTTCCTTGCAGTAACCCAAAAGCACCGTAAAGAGGTGAATGCATGTTACTTTGGAAATGGAAAGACTCAAAGGCTTAGTTGCACAGTGAAGAAGGCTATTCTAGAAGATAAAATAAGAGGATACTCCTGTAATTTGCATAATAAGACTGGAGAACAGAAATAAAAGATGGCCATTGGTTAGAAACAACACTGTCTACTACACTCTGCTGAGTTGTCTGAACTTCCTATATGAAATGACTTTCAGGGATACCGTTATTTCTGTACAAAATAAAAAGCTGAAAAGTTCTCCATATGCACAAAGCCTCCAGGTGAATGCAGTCAGTAAGACATAGGTTTCGTGACTGGCTTCAATCAATTGTTTACATTTGCAGTGGAAAATACATTCCAGATAGAGAGACCAAAGTAGCAAACGGACTTCAGGACAGTCATGTTCTACCATGACATGACAGAGATTACTCCCACTAAAATGAAAGGATTGGTGAGCAGCAAGACTTTCATTGACAAGAGAATTTTGCTTGAGATGAAAGACAACCTGGGAGAGGTACTTAAGGATCCAAAGGATCTTTAGAACCAACTGATGATAACATAACCCCATCTGCATTTCAGAAATGCTTTATTCTTTAGATCAGTTTAACACTTTTCCCCATTAAAGCCTGCAACAAGAATGCACCTTCTGTTTGAACCAAGGTATATCTTTTGAAAGACAATTGCTTTAAAGGTAAGTGCTTGAAGCTATGGCAAATCCATCTCATCTATACATAACTTGTCCCAAGAGGTAACTATTCTCAGTGTTGGGGAAGGGGAAGAGAGAGAAAGAAAACGCTTTCTGGACTAGATTAAATCCAGCTTGCAGCCACTGGATTTCTATGAATGTTCCACTCAGCAAGAGCTTTGAACAGTCAGCAATCTCTCTTTTTTGGAGGCATGCATAAACTACAGTCAAGTCACGTTTAACACCTTTTCAGATCCCTTGGCTAGGTCAGGGTGATAGCTTGTGCCTCTGCTCCCTCAGCAGAGGTCTTCTCCCATTCACCAGCAAATACCATGAAAAGGCTCCACAATTCCGCAGTGACAGAATTAGCTGTCATCACACTGCAAAGTTTGGAAGTATGTTGAGGAGCTGGATGGATACAGATACTTTTCACTAGAATGCTTTAATAAAAAGAAGGGTGAAAAAACCAAAAGCCTTCTCTATATAGCATGCAATCAATTATATTCCTGTTCATCTGGCCAGCATAACTCCAGGGGGACTACCTTGGTGTCATGTCAAGAAAGAGCCTAGAGACAGTAGCTAGCTCAGGTGTCTGTTCAGATATCATTTAAAAGTCAGTATGCCTAGAAGTGCATATTGTATTCTGCCAAACACCTGGCTCAGGACTTTTTTCAGGTCTGTTTTCTCTTGTTTTCCCTTTTATTGTTTTTTTTTCTGCACTCAGAAAGTAGTAGCTTCTTTTGCACCCAAGACTTAGCCTAGGGAAAGCAAATCAAAGCAGAATCCTAAGCCTGTCTCCTTTTCAGAACGACACTCTAGCTATTCTGGTGAGTTCCTAGCTTGGAGCTGCAGTGAGCAGAGTGATTTATCTAAAAGGACTGAAAATTATTTTCTGGTTTTCCACTCTACAGCACCCATTTTATTTCATGCTAAGGCAAATAAATGCATCTACTGCTGTCTTGCTCCTTCCACTATAGTGTATAGCAGGTTAAAGTCACAGTTCAGATCTCAGCAGGTTTCAAATTCAAATGCTCATTATATATCAGGGGGTCAGTGTTCTAGCAGAGAAACACAAAAGTAATCTTCAAGAGGCATGAAATTTCTTATGTTTAGAAACTCCTTGCAAAAGTCAAGGTTTTTTTTTTTAGCTTTAAGACAGGCAATCTGCAATTTAGAATACCACCAAAATCCAAATTTCAAATGGTTTAAAAACCAAAACGCCTGAACCCCAAACTGACAGTTAGTTGAGGAAACCTCTAAGCATATCCTGTTATTATAATAAAATCAGGAGAAACAAGTAGCTCTGTGAGCTGCCAAACTAATGAAGCATGATTTCCAACATCTCCCTCCCATGAGGGTTTTCCAAAATCTAATAAAAGTATAAACTTCCTTAACTTCCTTTTTGTGGATTTTAATTGGCTTTTCCCCCTCAGCCTGCCATAAATTTTCATAGAATGTGTAATTTCTAATACTTTTGAGTTTTTTCTTTCTCTGTGACAGGTACTTGAATTGTGTCTGCTTGTTCAAAATCATTGGGTGTGGGGGGAATGTGGAGATAAACACCCGCTCACTTAGATCTCATTTCCTTAGGAGACTCAGCTGAAACATCATAAAACTGCATGTAGCTTTCACCTGGCATTGCTTTCTACACTGTCCTGCAACCTCAGGCTGCAACTCCAACAATCAGCGTAACACACCCTGCTCTGCTTGAGCAGCAGCTCACTGAAAAGTGAACTGTGGATTATGAACAGAGACAAGCACTGGTAAAAACAGATACTTTGATGATCATGTACAAACCCTACCAAAATGCTTCCGATAACCAAACCTTAAAGAAGGAAGAGATTAATATGCACAGCCAGGCCTTTCTACACAAATCCATGCAAATCACATTCATAAACCAACATTTACATAAAGATACTCCCCAAGAAATCCCCTTACAGGTATGATTTTTGAAAGTGAACAGTGACCCTGGGGATATAAAGGGTTCAAGGAAATAATCACACTGTCTGGAAATTGAGCAGCCCAAAAGTCCAACACTTACAGAGACAAGTAATTTCTGATTATTTGTTTTGTTGTTTCAAAATGCCTTAAAGTTCTTTTCTACTCATTCTCTTTTGAAAAAAGGTTTTGCAGGGAAAATTTGGACACTACTTCAAACACAGTAGCCAGTTACAGCAAGATATTTCTTTTTTTTTTTCTGTTATTCATAATTTCTGAACTACTCAAGGTAAAGATATCTTTTAGGGCAGCAGTTTCTATCAGTGAGTGGTCCAGAATGGAGAGAGAGTGAAGCAGAGTTTTCACATATATTTTCACAGAGTTTCAAACCATACATTCAACAGCACTCATCTGGCATTTCCGTCCCCTTCAACACAAGTATGGAATTAACTAGAAAGTTCACCAACTAGCTCTCAGCTGCTGGGGAGAGACTCTCTGAAGGTGCAGAGAATGGCAGAAGGTTCTGAGGTGGCTTTTGCAAATTCATGTGACATCAAGGCACAGCAAAGGTCTGAACCCAAGGAAGGCTTTTAATGTTCATGCTCTAAGTTTAAAACTTCCTATGGAGACTGAACCAAACCCTACAGAAGCCAAAGGAAGCCTTTTCATTTACTTTAAAAAGCTTGGGACCCAATATATAAGAAAGTTAAGTCACATACAGATATCCTGTTTCATAAGAAAAATACAAGTCTTTTTGACAGTACTGGCTTCTTGTTCTTTAGCTGTCTTTACCTAAATTTTGCTGTCTATGCCTGAATTTTCTGCTCTCACATATACCCGTGCACCAACCTCATAGAACCTTTATTTATGCAATGGTCCAATTAAATTAATGGAAATTTTTAAACAAAACAAATTACTGGATTTGTCATTCAACAACAAAGATTTTTTTGAAGATAACACATCCCAGCAACTTGCCTCAACCAGATATCTTTTCTTTGGTTCAAATAAGAAATTACAATGAAATCAGAAGTTCAAATTCTAGTTTGACTTTCTTTCTCATTTGACAATACTCAAGCCATTCAAGCTTCCTCAGCTGTGAAAAAGGGAAAAGATTTAAGCCTTCTTGCCCTAGTTCCTATGCCCAGCTCTCACACAGATACTACTATGCACGTTAAAATTATTACCATTCTTCTCTATCTGCGTCACAGTTGCAAAAATATCTCATATCCAGACAACTTTCTTCCAGTCCACATGCACACTGTTGAATGCCCGGAAGAGATCCTCCCCAGTAAAGATGCTTTTCATTGGCACGGCCAACCCACCAAGCAAATGGCATTCCATCTGGATGAAAGGGAAAGAGAGGGAAGAAAAAAAAAAAAAAAAGGAGAAAAGAGAAAAAGAGAGAGAAAGAGAACTTGATAAGCAAATCGGATTCTCCTGACAATGAAAAAAAGAGAATGGAGGTGGACATGTTAAATAATACTGAAAGAAAACATGCAAACTATAGACAAAGTAATAAACCATAAACTTTGCCCAAGTTCCATTTTATGGAATACATGTTGAGCTCTATGGTAGTCCCTTCTGGTTTGAGGAGCAGGTGTTTTCCCCACAGGGCTCACGTGCCAATCACCCATGAGAACCTTGGTACATTTCAGCTGCAAAGATTTTAACGTGCAAACTTAACAACACTGTCTACACCACCTGTGGCCAGTGTTTTGTGTGACATTAGAGATCTGATCATTGAAGTAGCCTGAAAACAATTCTCCTGCTACGACTCGCACTGCACAACTGTCTTGAACCACCCAGTATTGGCCAAGGACCTCTTGCAGAGTCTTCCTGCTATGAAGCAGACTCTAGCTCTTAGATCAGGATTTTTTCCTTAAGACTCACATATAAAGAGCAAAAATCTTCAGAAAGAACACAGAATCTGACCTATTACTATGGGCTTAATACACTTCCTCTCAAACTAAGACCAAAATTTGCATCATTTTCTAAGGGAGCAGGACTAGGGATTTTAATGTGCTCTCCAAGGGTGGAATTTGCAAATGCAAAGCTCCATAAGATATTAAAACATCCTAGATTAAGTATTCAGGTAGGAGATAAGTGGGGAAAAAGATTTCCCTTATTGGGAATTAATTTGTCTCTGTGAAGTTATTCTCTATCTACAGGAGCTCTATGTATTTATATAAACCAAGATAGTTTTTGTTTAAACTTCATAATCCGTTATACATCAAGCATTAAATATTAATAGTCAGATACAGTAAGCAGATTCAGATGTAATAAAATCCACGGATTAACATTTTGTTAAGATTGACTTTGTCTTCCAGCTCAGATAACTTTTTCATTGACTTCTTAATCCTTAAATCAAGAAATGTAATCAGTTACACATACAGGTAGATGGCAAAATTTAGCAAAATTGACATATCAAGACTTTTTGATCAAAGGAGCTTCAAAAATAAACTGCACTGCTAATGTAGAAAAATGCATCAATTTATTCTTCTGCTTCACTAACATTATTAGTAGGGAGTATTCCTCATTATACAAAGGAAGAAAGTCTAAAATATGAAATACAATCAAGGTTAAATGTAGAGTGTAAGGGACTAATTAAAATGAGTTTTAGAATCACTTGGCAAAATTAATTCATATTTGTTTTCCTTCTAAGCTTAGACTGCTCAACTGTAAATTTATGAAAAAAAGGAAAATAAAAATAGGAAGAGTAACTCCTTTCTCATGATACCAATAATTAAGACATGTTTCACCAATACCCAGTGGTACTCATTAGAAAACTAAAATTCAAGAATGTCTACGGATTCAACTTACAAAAATGTGCACACTCATTCTAGGGTTCTTATTATTGTAAACACATTTATGTTTTCTTTCTTTTCTCTTCAGCTGATTTTCTTGCAGAAGTTGATTGCTGCAGCCAGTGAAACAGGACTATGCTATATTACTGGGAAATGACTTTGTAAAGCTTGGAATAGTAATGTTAATTGAATAAAAGGGTGATTTGTCTAGGGGTTGAAATAGATATTATATAGAAGTGCTTAATCTAATTTTAAAAGTACCCATTCTGGAAAAAATATTTAGATAAAGATAAATCCTTCCAACCATCAGCAAATAATGGTATTCATTAATCAAATTCAACCTATGTCAGGTTCTTTTTGCAAAAATCATTATGTACTTAAACATAGCAGTGAAATAAGCAATCATTCACAGGAGTTAAGAATGAGTAGTTTTCTGATGTCTTTTTCAGCTCTGTTGTTATTTGTTTTATCGAGCAATACCAAGCAAACACATACGCATTCAGATTTATGATATAGACTGAGGAAGTGGTAGAAGCACTGCAGTTTGAGTCATTTACAACTAAATTAAATACAGTGCTAAAAAATAAAGCATTCAACATTATAAGGAACAGTCTCAGATTGTCAAGGGAACAGACTATTAAAAAGTAGTATATTTTCAAAAATTCTATTTATTAGGCAGAGTTCTGCCACCCTTTACTCAAGATGAGTAAATTTTTCTCCCTAACTAGTCCCTTAGAAATCAATTGTAGTATTAAGGAAAATCATGCCCTGATTCTTCAAGAACTCTTTTTCATGTTAATTTTCAACACATGAGAAATCACAGAGATATTCAACAAAACTTATAGATCTAAGGTACTTCAGCAATGTCCAAACTGTTTAGAGATTACCAAAGCATATATTGTATGTCACATACCTGTAATGATGAAGTAATGCGGTATTTCACTAGCAATGCCAATCAATCTATCCCTGAGCTCTTTCTAGAAAGTTTACACTGTTGTACCTTGGATGGTGCCTTGCATTGAGATTGAGTTTGGCCAACAGATGTTGATTAAGTTTCTTTCTCCTAAGCCTGTAGAATTGTTGTGATATTATCACTTGTTATCATGCTATTATCATTTTTTCAAAGCATTATCAATTCTACATCGCCTCAAAACTAATTGATTTCCTTCTTGTGGTGAAACCATGGACTAAGTCAATCACATTAATTAAGGAGCTAACATGGCCCCATAAACTGTTGCATAGATCAGTAGAATTCCACTTTAAAATTTCTAAGGTAAAAAGTCCATTTAATGAGAAGTGCTACTAATTCTTCATTCTGTGCTTACCTCGTACCTAGTAACACACTAATTTAGTCAAAAAAGCTATTCAAAAACCTACTGCAAAAATTATTTTCCATGCACTTTTGTCTCTTTAGAACTGATAAAAACCCTGCTATAATAAATATATAAAGGTTGTCTTCGAACTCCGTACTATGATTCCAAAGGAGAACGTGTGCAGAAAATATCCAAAACCAAGCAAAGCAAACAAGCCCCAAGGTGCATGAATTCACCAGCAAAAGAACTAGAGACCAGACAGTTTCTTTCAAGTGATTTCTTCCCGTGTTGCTCAAGCTGCCTTTGGAAGGTTTTAATTTTGATAACAAAATCCTCAAAAAAGGCGCTTTTTCTTATTTTAGTATTTCATGCAGAGGACTATAATCCTTCCTGTGATGATTGCTGTCTAGAAGCATCTACAAACAGCTGTGATATTTACATCACAGTTTGTACCATATAATAGAGTATTGAACAAAAGAACTGAACAGGCAGACAGTATTTTGTATCAAACCAAGTACTGCTGCTTGTTCACACTACCAGGCACAGGCTGCAGAAAGCAAGGTTAGCATAGGTCTTCTGAAAGGAAAGAATAAGGGGTTTCATCTTCCAGTGACCATCTTGATGTTTCCCTTTACCTGTCTGTCTCTGTAGGCTGGTCCTTTGTGATCTATTGGTCTATTCAACAGCTATTGCATGTATGTATCTGAATAGCCAAGGAAGACTTTAGAAACCCTAACATATACAGAACTGAAACACATGGACAAGAGTTTTCCTCTATCCTACAAGCACAGATAGTAAGATTCTTTTGGATGTTAAGTCTTCAGTAGATCTCCAGTACCCTCTCCATCAGTGCACTTAACTAAACTGTTCATTGTTAGTTCTCTGTATGAAATCTGTTTCAGCAGAAGCTGGCACAGACTGTACAGTTTCTGAACCCAGAAGCTGAGGACTACAAAGAGAATAGTAGTGAGACACAGGGAGGTTATTTCCAATGGTCCTTAGAAGGAGATATAGCTTGAGATCAAGTTCACCTGCAATGCGCATCTGGCTCTTCTAGTGACAAGAATGGCTGAACATGTATTCAATGTCCCGCTACCAGCTTACAAGAAAATGTCGGTCCTCTTAAATCTCCCTTGTTCATGAGACAATTTCGACCTGAATAACTGAATCTAGAGATCAATCCAGAGTACAAATTATGACCTCAGCTAATCCATTTTTAAAACGCTCTTGAAAAACCAGAGAAATGGCTAAGAGAGCGAGAACAAGGGAAAACTAAAACAGCATTTTTTGTTAGAGTTTAACAAGGTCTTGGTTTGTATGCTTTTTTTTTTTCATCACAACATCATTTCATTTTTCTAGCCTTATTAATGATAATTTTCAAATTTAAATTGGAGTAAAACCAAATTCTTCCCCTTTGGTCTTTTCAACAGGAAAAAAATACACTTTTGACAAATCAAATAAAAAGTGTTTATAATAATTCTGGAAAAAATTATGGACAAATGGGAGAAATATGACATATTTAGTTGATAATAAAAAATTAATATATTTTTAGAGGCTGTTTGTTCTATGAAGAGGTCTATGGTGTTAATGACTTGGAATTTGTATTGTTTTAAAGGAAGGCTCACACCTCTGGGAGAATACATTAATAACACAATGTGGGGTGAACTCAGGCTGTGCTGCATTAACCAGCATGTGCTATCCATTCTTTGACATTTAGGCTGATATTTAACAGTGAAATAAATTGCTCTTTGGTTTCCAGACCCCAGAGAGGATCGTGTGGCTCTGCCCCAGCCAGAGGGAAGCAACACCCACCTCCAAGGTGGCAGGCTCTCTGAACCTCACAAACAAAACACAAAAAATCCCTTTTTTTAACACAAGATGAGGATATCTAGGAAAAAAAAAATGAATATAGGTAATATATACGTATATACGAAGTCATCCAGTTGCTTTTGGACATTGCTACTCTGCTTCCATGCGCACTCATACCTGTTTAAAGCCTGGCTCTTCGCCTTTCAGTACAGCCATAATGACCATTTAACAATTCCTCCGTTTTACCCAAAACCTTCCCCATACCAATTGTGCAACTCAGTTTTATTGTCCAATTCAGTACTGACCTTTTCCTCTCTCAAAACTGTAACCCACATACCACTACCCTTATTTTCAGAGGTGACAAACACGAATGCATTGGAAATGATGGTTGATCAAACACCACAGCAAGACAGAC